TATACGAAGTAATAATATAAAAGCATGCAACAAATAATGATTCTACAAAAGAATCATTATTCTTTTTAATTTAACAATTAAAAATAACTATAATTAATTAATTTAATTATTCTACAATTGTTTTATGATTTCCTTTTAATAACACAAAGCAAATGAAATTGTTGTTGGAGTTTCACAACAAATCAAAAAAACTCCAATTTTGAACATACAAGTCAAGTACGACTTTGGGTCAGTTGGCTAATGAATACAGACACTGAGACCCCAATTTCACAAATAATTATTTATGAATAATTAAATATAAGAAATAATTCCAAAACATAACATTTCGGGTCAGCCAAAAATGTAATTAATTAAAAATATATAAAAATTGTGTTGTTACTATTCAGTACTGTTCGAAACCTCTCTAATAAATACATTACTGTAATAATGTTCGGAAAATTCATACCTTTATCTCAGAACTATTTACTATACTTTCTTAATAGACTTAGAGTATTTCTTCCAGTCCAATTTCCTCTATAAATTATATTATTGAACCCACGTTATAGAATTACAGTATTTCTTTATCCGTTATTAGATGCCCACCTAGGTTTTCTTTGTGTATACATCAAAGCCGGGCAAACTTTTTGCATGTGTTTTGAAATCTTATTATCTTCCAAACAAAATCTACAAGTTTCTTTAGAGTCAGTGTCCAGTCATGTAAATTGATAGTTTAATTAATAGTGCTCTGTCTAAATTTCTCTAATTATTCTCTCACGTTATAAGTAAATATGACTCCCGATTTTTTGTATCAAATTTAATTCTCAGATGCGACTTTACTTTTCTTAAAAGATTCTCAACAAGCAAACTTGTAACAATTAAGAGACTAAAAGACGAACAGTACATTTCGAAAGATTACAAAAATTCACTTTATAATATATTGTGACATTTGGTTTAGAGGAATAATATATCTGTACTTTTTGAAAACGATAAAAGAATGTCAGCAAGCTTTAACCGTCAGTTCTGATCGCTCCATCCATAACTGTTCAAGCGTTATCTTGATATTCATATAATTCAGAAAATTAACATCCAGTGGCTTCGCTGACTTGGTCATGTCGTGAGAATGGCTAAAGATGCTCCAGCGGAAAGGGCACTTGAATCAGTAGTTGGAGGAAAAAAGTGTAGAGATAGATCGTGTCTCCAGTGGAGTGATCAATTCGAGGCAGCACTAACCGGACTTGATGTAAGAGACTGAAGAGAGCGCGCACGCAGCAAAGGCACCTAGAGAGATATGCTGCGTCAGTCCGAAACTCGATAATGGATTGTTATCGCCAAAGTAAAAAGTGAAGTAAATATTGATAGTAAACTAAAATGTAACAATTTTTACTTTAACCAATATCCGCCCAACGTTCGATTAATCGAACAGCAAATTTTATCACTTTTCATGGATTTTTTGTTTATAGTAGCAAAACTTTAGAGTTTATATATATCATTACTTTGAATGTATGAAGCTTTAGCTTTACAAAAATATTTTTGACTTCACTCCACACCCCCCTCCCACTCCTTACTTTAAGCTTTAAAAAAAAACATTTTGACCAATAATTCCAAAAAAAAAATCCTTGGGCGGATATGGGTTAATCAAAAAATTAAAAGATTTCTGATTTTATTTAAATTTTATTAATCACAGTTATAACTATTCACAGTTATATAAAACTGAATACTCCAGCTGCTATTTAAAAAGTAAAATATCACAAATATTTGAAATTAAGTATTCATTTTAGTTTGAAAGTAAATAAAGCAACTTTCCTTGTTATAACATGTAACTTGTGGTTTATTGATTATTAAAAATTGAAAAAAAATTAACCAATATATTGTATATACAATAGCCACCAAACAAAGTTTTATAATATATAAAAATCCTGTTTAGAACTAGTTTAAATTTATTTTGAAGTTTTAGATAACAGTGTTATGTTGCCAAATCATTGAAAGTGTTTTGTAAGAAAAATTATTTGGAAAGATGATCATTATAAAATAATAAAATTTGTATTTTCATATAAAAAATACATACAAGTTTTCAAGTATTTTATTTATATTCACTTCATATTTCTCTAAATTTTTTAATTAGCAAAAAAAGATTTTTTATCATTACAATTTATATTGATTATTGTAATTATTTATGTATCTTTACACACGTACGTACCAAGCCATATTTAATCGAGGGTTCTGCTTGAAGTAAGCAATAATAACTTTATCAATTTCCTAACCTTCTGTCATTTATTTTTATTATTTATTGAAAAAAACTAGATATATTTTATATCTTATAATGTTTTTTTATAACACGTTCAATACAAAAGTTTTTTTATATAAACAAAATAAGTGCTCATAAACGATAAAACGTGGATTATCTTGTTAACAAAAGATTAGAGCGTTTGAACATGAAAACATTATATATAGATACACAAACCTTTTGTTGAGTATATAAAATAAAAGTGTTAATAAAATGTTTATTGGGGGCAATTAATTCTAATTAATTAATTAATTTGCTATAAACTTTATTTTTAACTGCTCGTTTTTCAAGGCAAGAACTAACGTCGATTTTATCCACAGAAAAAAAGGGCCGACAAGAAAAATTGTGATAAAAAAATTAATTGAAAAAAATAAAATTTTTAAAAGATCTGCTTTAAATAGATACGATTATATTTAATTATCAGAGCCAATAATTTTATTCAAGTGGTTTATTTTATGTGATTTTTGATATATTTGTTAGACTCCGCAAGCTTTAGTAAATAATAACTAATAGTTTTCATACGGAGGGATTAAGGAAGACGCGTTAAGCTGTCAACATGGAATAAATTTTTAATTAAAAAAAATAATAGATGATGTATGTATTCCGATAGTTTATTTAATGTTTCACTTCAAGAAGTCTAATTGAAAATAAGAAAAATTTATAGACAAAGAGTCGGGGAAAATTACACCGCTGTCGTAGCGATTCTTTGCCATCCTTCATGGATTGTGACATCCTTTCTGCCTGTGGAAAAATTTAATAAATAGCTTTTTTTTATAAAAAATGAGAAAACTTAATGATATGCAGACAGCTGTATGCAATCTGACCACGCTCCAATAAAAGGAAATCCAACTCTCTTATTAGGATGCCCCGTATATATCAGTCTAATAGTAGGTTTACTTACTACAGTAAGTAACTAAGATGAGAAAGTGCCGTTTATCTGCTTTGTTTCTGTCCAGCACATTCGTAGCGAAACCTTATCACTTTAGAGGCTTTCTTTTTTAAGGATCTTAGCGAAATGCCAGACCTCCTCTTGAATAGCTTTTCCAAAAGTTCTAAATGGTTCTAACCTCTGAGTTATTAAATATACGGTAATACAATGGCTCTATAGACCTAAGTGAATCCCTAGGGATCGCTGGTATAACCTGCCTACCTAAATAGTTTATAAATAGAATGCAATATCACTTTCAACCGTCTCGAAGTAGTTTCGGAAATATCAGACAGGACACTTCTCAGTGGACAATCGACTGAGGATATAAATGTCGTTTTGGCGAAGTATAGCTTGGATGAAGACATGCTCTCAGGTATTGAAAAAATTCCTTAAAGTATAAATTATTGGTATGGCGTTTCTTCTTTTCTTTTTACGCTTGTGGTTTTATGTCTGGTTTTATGTAGGAATTGTAAGGTACTATATAAATTAAGGTCGTAACGTATGCAGTTCAGTAGAACTATAATCTCTGCTTTATTTACGTATAATACGTTGAATATAAGAAACTAGATTTTTTATTGGTCAGTAAGAGAAGTAGGTTTACTAAAGCAAGCGAAATATTTAATCAACAACATGCATAACAAGCTACTGTAATTATTCTATTCCAAAATTAAAGAATTATTCAAACATAAAGTACATATAAAGCTGAAATTTCTTACAAAATGAGAAAGGGTCTTTAACGTTTTATCGAATTTTTTCAATTTCTGTTTTTAATTCAATCGCAAGGTAGTTACTGCAAGCTAACTCTAGTATGGGTTCCTGAACCTGCTAGTATGGCAGGGAACTAGCGCGCGAATGAGGTAGCCAGATTTGGTGCCTCTTTTATTGAACTTTCCATATTAATTTGTGTTCCTACCTGCCGTAGACGAGCATTTTTCACGACAAACTAACATTTCTTTAGTAACCAGGTAGAGACACATGGCCTTTATATTCCAAAAGTAGAACCTCTAACTTAGTTCACAGAAGTAAATAAGAGGTATCTAAGATAATTTCGGCCCTAACGGAACACTGTGTTATAGGGCAATATGAAGCTAGATTTGGGGTGCCCTATCAAATCTCTTGTAGTACATGCCTACCAGCGCTCGAGTAGTATAGACTTCAGTTTGGCACCCTATTCCTTTTCAAACTCGACGATATATTGGTATGGGCCAGATACTTGCATTTACCAATGTATCTGTACAGTTGGTTCTAATGTACCCAACTTTCTACACATTTTTACAAGAAATGTGAAATCAATTGGGCTGCCTTAGCTAATTGGGGAAAATTTGATCTTCCATCCACTTCACCTACCTCTATTGCAAACAAACTGGTTTTAAATTTAATAAAATATTACTTTTTTTCTATTAACAGTTAATTGTCAATGAGTGATTATAATTTGAATGTTGCAAATATTATATTGATACATCATTATATTTTCAGTATGTGACAATCTAAGTGATATCTTCATAGGTTCAACTTTCTACAGTTAAAATCAATTTGCAGTTTTAATTGCAAATTCACAATATTTAATTAAAAAATTATCAAAAATTTGCCAAAAGAAACTCATTTCTTGTCTACTGTAGATACGGTGTTAGAAATCTAGTCAAACGCTTTCGCTCATTAAATTTGCAAATTTTATTACATTTGTAAGCCATAATTTACATTAACCCACTTTTGCTCAATCCATGCACAGATATGACCACTTTCAATTTTGATATGAAATAAAATTTTCCATTTTAACATTTTTCTCTATTTGTTTTCTTTTCCTTGCAGTGTTACTGTTCCAAATTCAATGCCATTGCCAGTTATCTCAGCAACGAATGCCAAACTGTTACAAAATGATAATTGCAGCAGTAGCAGCAAAAGCAACAGCACTTCTCTAAGTATTGCCAAGAGCAACAGTGAAACGATGTTGCTGACTAACAACAACATGAACAACAACAGCAGCAACACGTTTCGTCCTCAGCCAATTAGTAAATCAATGGTGAATGATGCTAGTAATGCCAGTTTTCCTTTACCAACAGAAAAATATATTGCCATAAAAACCACAAATACAGGGACATTGAAGATGGCACGGCACAAAAAACAATCCATTAGCTCTACATCAACAACAGCTTCGACCGCAACTTCAATGGCGAGCATAGAAGAAGAAGTAGACCTGCGTAATAAACAAGCAATTAGCGGTGGCATTTACAATCGAAATAAACTTTTAGTCAATAATAAAATCATCACCGCAGCGCCTACCAAAAATGTTGGCAATGAACAACATGGTAGAACCAGCTCACACCAATCTCACTATTCCACAGACAAAAGTGGTTCATCCGGCTATTACAGTTCCAATGTGTGTTCAACATATTCGATAGAAGATCACATATATTGCGAACCAGTTGTCGATATCTTAGATGTAAATAGTAAGAGTAAAAGTGATATTGCAGCAAAAGTGCACAACACTGCAATTTTGCACAATCAACTCCAAAAACAAATACCAGCTGCGGCAACTAATGTTTTAACACAGAGTAAAATTTTGAATAGTAGTAACACTAAAGACATGATCGGTGTTGTAGGTCTGAAGAGTAGTTACAATAAGTGCGATGGTGATACCGATGATGAAAGTCTTACGGTGGAAAACAGTAGTACATTACGACTTACATCAGAACAAACAAATGTACAACCACAATTCAGTGAAAGTTTACGTGTGCTCGAAGCGAGCATCGAAAACCTGGATCGTCATTTAAGAACTTTTTCAAGTCTGAGTTCTCAGGAATGTTTAGCGTCCTCAACGCAAACGCAAATGCAAAACCAACATCACCAGTACCCGCATCAGCATGTATTTAGTGAAAAATTACGCCAACACAACCAACTTCCTACCATAATTGAAGATTATGATTTAGCGCATACAACACGTCCTTGGCAAAGTCATTTAGTAGATGATTCACTATTAGATATCGACATGGATGCTTTTCTACTTGCAAACGAAACCAAAGGTATTAAACGCAGCAAGACACATAAAACGCAATATGAAGCAAGTGGTATTGATAATCCTACATTTCTTAATGATGAGCAAGCTGAAAATCACTATAAATGTGCCAAATATATAAACTCCTGCCCTGAAGATGCATATCGTGTTGAAAGTGATATAGTTTTAGGAACTGATAATGGCTCTATAAAGTCTGCAGCAGTCGATCATCTACCCAAACCCTACGTCGATCAGTTACATTTCCAAAACACACGAGAACTTTTAGAGGATGTACGCGAGAAAATATTGAAACTTTCTGCATCAAACAATGATTTACGTGCACGTACTGAGGACAAAAAGTTGGTAACTAAAGTAGATGAAATACCAAAAGAATTGGAGGGAATGATTAAGGCATTAAAGGATGAATTAGAAACATATTTGGCACGTATGAATCAACAAAGTGAAATGGAAATACGACAGCTTTGTAGTGGTCTTCTAAAAAATCAAAAAATTGCGAAAATGATGAAAGCATTCGAACATCGACAACCTCACAATAATAGTTATGAATGCATTGGACTTAGTACATACGAAGTCAATCGAAATAATGCATCCAACACTTTTGCAAGTGCTGTTGTAAATCAACAGCAACAGCAGATTGCATCTATAAAATGTGCAAGTGATCCAAATTTTAAAATGAAACGTAAATCTATTGCTGAAATATTTCCGAGAGCCGATTGTTATATTGAAACGATACGCGATAATCAAGTACCTGCAACATCCGAAACCTCATTAAAACCTACACAAATGCAACGCAATTTAGCTTATCAAAATCCAGTACTAAATCAATTAGATTCCAAATTGGGACCAAGTGGTGGTGTTGGTTTATCAAATGCAGGCTCAAATAGTGCTAGTACAGGATCAGGTGATAAGAATTCCATATTGGAATGGCATCGAAAAAAACCAAGCATTTGGGAAATGTATTATGGCACGAATCGTATTAATCAGTCACTGTTAGGAAAACGCAGCGGTATGGTGACAAATACTGCTCAAACTACTATGTCCTATGTAAGTACACTTTACTATTTTCTATGATATTAAATTAATATATGCAATGCAATGGATCTTAAATATGCATAACTGACATAGGCACACATCTGACTTCCTAGTCACGTATATTCTACAACGGATTTTAGTATATTTAGGTACTTTTTAGCAACTTTTTCCACTACACTATATACCGATATAGATAACTTCTCAAGATATTGAGATTTAAAATTGGAAAATTTTAATAATGTTTGAACTAACAAAAAGTACATATACCATCTAACCAGTATATGCAATTTTTACATTAATTATACAATAACAAATTTATAACAGGCCATCTGGCGCATCCACTTGTGGTTTACACAAATAAATTTCAATCTTTAGATCCCGATATCTCAAAAACTCATTTGCATTGAATAGTGAAATAAATAACTGACCGAACTAAAAATCATTATTGAATGGACGTGCCTGAGAAATCGAAATCGTGCTCTTACTTGAAGTCGATTATACTTAAAGCTTATTTATAAAATTATATATGTATATATATCTAATAACAGTTGAACATATGTTAATGAATACTCAAGTATAATGATGTATGTATCTATAGTGACAGTTGAGTCTATCTTACTGTATTTATAAGTGCATTAAACATTATGTTGAATTAGATTTTGAACTACAATGACCATATCTGGTTTTATAGCTACATCTCCCAAAGGATAAAATATGATATTGATAAGGTTAATAAAATTTTTAAAAGAAATATGAAAAAATGTACATATACACTATCCCACAACCTCTCCATTACACTACCTCGGCTATATTTTTACTAGAAACCAGAAATTTACTTCGAAAGAGACTTTCAGATAATTTCAGATAATTAAAGAAACTAATCAACTAGACATAAAGCATTAAATACAAATAAACATGAATATATAGTCCTGTGATTAATTTTGGAGAGCGACTTCAGCCCCTTACTCCTGACTACGTACATATTTGTCTCCAACTACTGAATCTTTATTTTATGTGCCCATGCAGACTTGCTAATAAAGCAGCATTATTGCCATTTACTGTAGAAGTGTGTTAATATAATTTTTTTTTTTTAATTAAAACGAGGTGTATTTTACAGGCATAAATACTTTTACACTACATTTAAAATTAAAAAAAATAATAATAATTTTAATAGTCGCTTAACAACGTGACTCAACTATAGAGTTAAGCCAATATAATATCGAATTTTATCATTTAACCATGTTGATGAAAACCAGCGTTTCTCAATCTCTACATTTGCACTACCTTTCCTTTATATATTTTTCTAAGATTAATTTTAAATAACTATTGGTTAAGTAGGAATTTAAAAAAATTGTATTGTATATATACCTATATATATTATGTTATTTAAAATTCATACTTAACTAATAGTTATTTGAAAATAACCTTAGAAAAATACATAAAGGAAAGGTAGTGCAAATGTACATATATATAGTATATATCGTACATATTGTATACATTAAGACTGAAAAGTTTTCGGAAATTCTCATTTAAAATTCGCGCGCTGTATATTTTTCGATATTTTAAGTTTATGTAGTTTGGCAGCACTGTCCTTAATTACTATGCCAAAAATGAGCTCGATCTGTCAGACAGTTCGTTTACGGCAGCTGTTGAAACCAGTTCACCTCAGTAGTGCGTTGCGAAATGTCTTCGACGGTCGTACGACCGTCCTGGAAGGCTTTGTACCACTCATAAACTTGAGTTTTCGATAAAACTGATTCCCCATAAGCCTTTTGTAGCATTCGCAACGATTCTGCACACGAAATTTCGTTCGAAACACAAAATTTGATGCAAACTCTTTGTTCAATATTTTTTTCCATTGTTTTTTTCGCAACGCCCTACTGAGGTGAACTGGTTTCAACAGCTGCCGTAAACGAACTGTCTGACAGATCGCGCTCATTTTTGGCATAGTAATTAAGGACAGTGCTGCCAAACTACATAAACTTAAAATATCGGAAAATATACAGCGCGCGAATTTTAAATGAGAATTTCCGAAAGCTTTTCGGTCTTAATGTATATATTATATAGTATACTATATATAGTATATTTAAATGTATAACTCTTATAATAATAATATTAATATTTGGAAATATATTAACACTAATCATTATAAAACACATTGAGTATTTTATTGCCCGCCATACTTTTTGGGTTAAGAAACTCTGGTCTAGGCAATATTTTTACCCAATCGAACGTAGCAATTATTTCCTTCCTAGTTATTAAAATAAGTCATTTAAGTCAATTTAACATAAAATTATTAAATACTTTATGTATGAAACAGTTTGTTTATTTTTCGGTATAAATACGATTATTTCTTTACTTAAAATTTTAATAATTTTCCACCAAAAAAAAGAAAAAACAAAAATAAAAATCCTTCACAAAAATGTTATGAAATACCAATTTGTTTCATGGCCACTTCGAGAGTAATTTTCAATTATTGCTAACAAGTTTTTTTGCACCACAAGTACGTATACGTGTTAACAATTTTCCGTAATTTAAAAAGAAAAAATTTTTTTAATAAGAACGCCAGTTTCGGTATTAAGCAACTGCAAAATTAAATGCAGCTACTAAAATTAAGAATTTATTGCACAACAATTTTGAACAACTTAGATACTTGTTGCTAACTCCCACCTTCGGCTCCGCACAACAGCACTCCTCTCCGGCTAGGTATGCAAATTCGGATAAGTTGAGTTCTTGGTACAAGACAGCACAGTGAAAAATGACAAGGTTAACTAATTTAACATCGCTCTAACACGATTTTTATTAACTACAAAATAAAATTTTTCGCAATTAAATTTATATCTTTATAGTTGGTGTTGATTCTAAAGCGAAAATAATTAATTTTCCACAAATACTTGATTATGTTAGGTTCGATGATGCTAAGTTATTCGAGATATTCTCTTGTCAAATTTTTCAGATTTATTCGGTATGAGCTTAAACCAGTCGCATTTTAGCGCCGCATTAGAAGTATTGTCAATCTAACGAATACTTTTTTTAATATTGATTGATCTCTTAATTAAAATATTTGTTTACTTGCACAATAATTTTTATTGCATCATGCATTTATTGCATTATTTAATTTAATTTAAAATTGTGATCCTTAACAAATAATAAATAATCTTAAATTTAATCATATTTATGTATTGCGTTCAGTGCGATGCAGAAATATTTCAACTTATTTTTCACTTAAAGATAGATTTTATAACTTATTATAGATTTTATTATATATTTGGACTTGTAAAAAATAATTTGTTTTTAAAATACTCAAAAAATTCATAATGGGTTTTAAATAACTTTTAAAATAATTTACTCAAAAAGAATATAAAAAATTAAAATTATAGACATTTGTAATACTTATGGGTCAAGCATTTACCTTTAATATACCTTATATGCCCTTCGAACAACTAAGTAGAAAAAATTTTTAGGTCTTTAGATTTATTATTAACTTCTAAATATCAACAGTATTTGACATTAGAATATTTACTGGGACAATATATAATATTATATAAAAATTAAAATTTTATTAACACGCACGAGCTCTAAGCCTGGCACTTGCAGTCCAAACAAATTATATACGGACTATAAACTAATTAAAAAATTCCAATACCTGCTAAGACTACTGGTGATGACTACTGGTTGTATGATCAACCAAATCTCAATAAATTAACGAAATTTATGTTGTTGTCTTTTCATTTCTATTCGAACTGTTATAACTTTTAAGTAGTTTCTTTTCGACATAAGACGCGTCATTATCAGCAAGAAAAAATTAACACTAAAATTTTATTTTCTTCATGAATTTAACTGAACTCACTAAGGTTTACCAAGAACTCATTAAGGTTTTTCGATTGGAACTTTACTATTATACAACAAATTGACAACATCTATCCTGCACTATAATTAAATTTGAAAAGAGCAATAAAATAATTCGTGAGGATCTTTGATATACCATATGTATGTTAAATGGATAAACTAATAAATTTAAAGCAGATAAAAAAATTTATGGAAAGTTTTTTATTAAAAGAAAATTCTTACCAATCCTTATTTCTTATTATCCTTATCCTTATTCACATGACAAGACTTAATTGTCATGTAAATAATTTAATTGAAATTATTGTTGTTCATGTATTTGCTATTTTCAGTAAAAAATTTTTATTTTTGCTAAGTCCGAGTTTCAATACCACATCTTTTATTTCAAAATACCAAGCCTCGAAACCCACTATGTGAGACTTCAACACACTAAAACCACCTTTAAAGACTGATTACAAAAAAAGCTGTACGGTACTAAAACCATGAAGAACCATTATACTGCGAATACGATTTTATACTTATGAAATAACACATTTTCTTGTTTATCGACCTGCCGATTAAATTAGCTATAGCAAGTGAATTCAAATTTAGTCTTAATCCTCCAATCCCAATTTTTGTTGTATAAATAAATTAATACAATCGTGATCCAACAGACTACTTTTAGATTAAAAGTATATCTTTTTTAAATATCTTTATTGATATGTTTCTCTCAAATTGCTGATTTGCTTTAATACTGGGACCAAAGTAAACTTGTGCCATATGAATAAGCTATTATACCCGTTATCTAATATCAAAAAAGCTTTTGCATCTAGCCAATAAAAAAGTTTACATATTTCCTTCATTACATATTTCGATAAACCTGTTGACTACTGTTGAATGCAGAAATGTTAAGTGAATAAAACTGTCTTACTTCAGGGATTCCAATTCACTTTTCCCGTATGAATGGGTTACTAAATTCATGAACTGATCTCAGAACATTTATTGCGTCAAGCCAATAAAAAATCTAACAGTCATGAACATTATATTCCACAAACCGAATAGAAATAATACTTATAATATAATCACCATTCCAAAGGGGTACAGCCCTTAAGTATTACTTTCACGAAAGTTAGGTCAACTATATCGCTTGATATTGTCCAACTGCATTGAAACAAAGACGTGACCTC